GCGAGTTGTTCATTCAACTCGGCGAGTCTAAGCATAGAGTGTTCTTTAGATGAAGACGAACCCGACGAGTTGTTCATACAACTCGGTGAGTAGAATGAAGAACGATTGGTCATCAAATTAGAAGGAAACTCGTCGAGTCAATGCCAAACTCGACGAGTAGAGACATGATAGTGGTCAGACAAAGGGAAAGGGACTCGGCGAGTTGACAAGCCAACTCGGCGAGGCGGGTTAATTGGAAGTTGACTTTGACTTTGACTCATGGTTTGATTAAGGGTAAATGGTCAGTTTACCCTGAGGTTGGTTAGCAGTATTTGACTAAGTGTTTGGTGGGAATTGCAGCCGGAGGATTTCCGGAGCAGCAGCAACAGACAGACCGTTCCCACACAAATCAGCAGCTACGAGGTGAGTTACCTTCCAGTAGCGGTGGGTCTACGGCCACAATGTCAGCCCACCAATAGGATTGTATGATAGATGTTTGTCTCTGTGATATTCATATAGGATTGCTACTACTTGTGATATGCTAATGTGCTAGTATGATATGATGATATGTGCTAGTGACAGTAGGGGGAGATAGTCTTCAGTATACCGATCGATAGGGCCGAAGGGGCGGTCATGCCCAGCCATACTAGATAGATTATAAGATATATGTGTTATGTGGTAGTAGTAGGGGGTGAAATAATCCCCAGTATCCGGTCGAGAGGACCGAAGGGGAGACCAGCACCCAGATATGTTAGTCAGTATCCGGTCGAGAGGACCAAAGGGGGGGGGGGAAGCTCACAGATATACTGGTCAGTATCCGGTCGAGAGGACCGAATGGGAGGCCAGTTCCCAGATATCCTAGACAGTATCCGGCCGAGAGGACCAAAGGGGCAGGTCGGGCACCTAGATATGCCTGACAATATATGTATGTTATGTGATTGTATGGTATGTGGTATGTTGGGGGAACTCACTAAGCTTCGTGCTTACAGTTTTCAGTTTTGGTTTCAGGTACCTCTTCTTCAAAGGGGAAAGAGTTGGCGCGGTAGCGGTCCATCACACACATGCTCTGTATTCCGCACTATGAGATCTTCCTGGGGATTTGTAGTATGACATTATTATGTTTTATGAAAATGTTTTTCCAGACATGCGATATCTTTATAGAATGTTATGATCGGTGAACCTTTTATTTCGAATGTTTTGCTAAGTATATGTTTTCAAAAATGAAATTTTTGGCTCGTATTTTTGGGATGTTACAGTCTTGGCACACGATGATGGTTGACGGAGTCACTGATGGAGGCGATAAAGAAGACTTCTCGGGAGCGTTTTTTTTGTTAGGGCACAATGGTCTGATGCGTATTTCGTTTCCATTCAGAGTTGGGTTTGTGACTTCATGGGAAAGACCCATCTTACCGGGAAAGCTAAATTTTTTTGATGCAAACCAAATGATCTTTCCGACTTATTCAGCCAGAAAGATCTTTATGAGCTTGGAAAGACATTTATCAAACAAGACTTAAGACCGTTTAGAAATCATTAGTGTTGATCCTTTTTATTTGACATTTCTTTCAATCAACATGTGTATTACACGTGCATCTAACTTAGTATTATATGAAACAAATATCCCCTCCCTTAATATGATTCTCATTTGAAAAATTATCAATATATCTCTATAGAAAACTAAAACTAATCTATAATGTATAACTCCATCAAAATGTTGGACTGATAATTATTTAAATAATTAAAACACCCTTCAACAATAACATAATACAAAATGCAATTAAAGTATCAAGCGATTAGTGACACGAGGAATTCCATAAGTTTTTACTTTATTTAATGTAAGAACCCTAGAACATAATATAAGTTTGTATTTTATTTCATGTAATACGTGCACACATAGTATTTATTGAAGTAGGCATGGCAACTAAAAGAGATGGTGATGCTTCTTGGTTTCCTGTGCCTTTTCATCTTCCTTCTTATTATGGTGCTCGTGGAATGCATATCCACCAGCTCCTACAGCAGCTGTCGCTGCAATCTCTTCCTCCAATTTGTGGCGGTGTGCGTTCTCTGGATCCTTCTTTTCCTCATGCTTCTCATGCTACATTCATTCACATATTTATTTCCACATTTTTTTTTGTAATATTTAATACATATGTGCATGACAAATAACATTGTATTATATAGTAGATCCAATTCCGTTTTCTTGTTTTCAAAATAATTAGTTTTGCCATCCAGAAAGATTGGCGGCGCAACTTGTTGTAAGTTTATCCTTTATTGATATGTATTAAAACACTGTTTTTTTTTAATATATATAATTCAAAAAATATATATACACAACAATATTAACCATCTTACTACCATGATTCACTCACAATCATGTGATCTGCTTTGTTTAGATATACTATGGATTACAACTATCCTATATTTTTATTTTTAACGTTGTTATCTTATGTCAACTCGTCCAAGGCCAACGTGAGAGGTCGATCACAGAACTAGCAATATTTTTAGTCTGTCAGGATTTGAACCCTAGACCTCTTATGTGGAATTATACACCTCAACCACTAAACTCCCATGCAACATGGTATATACACATACATGTTTGGTAAATGGTTAAATTTCAATTTTGTTATGATCCATTGAGATTCAACTTTGTTTTGCTTGGATTAAAACAAAGAAACAAATGAGTATGGGTGCAACCAAGTGATGAACATATATAGGTGAATGATCATGGTTACCTTTGCATAGAGCCCTGCAGCAACAGCACCTACTTCACCAAGGCGCTCATCTTTCTTGTGTTTCTTCTCATCTTCCTTGTAATCATGGGTTCCCTCAACAGGATAGGCTGCAAAAGACTCCTCATCATCCTTATTGTGATGAAAAAGGTGGTGGTGCTTCTTCTCTTCAGCCATGGTTAAGTTGTTGATTAAGAAATAAGAATGATGAATTAGTGATGATAAAAAGAAGAGTGAGTTTAAGAGGTATTTATAATATAAGCAATTGTGAATTCATTTTGGACGCGTGGACACTTTTAATATAGTCACAACCTTCCCTAGTTATAATATATATCCTCCCCTACTTAGTTATTAGTATGATATATTAATTATAGTATGTCATATTATTTAGATCAGAACTTTGAAATTGTTGAATTTTAATCAACCATTTATACCTCTTATATAAAAGTCAAACAAAATGTGCTAACAAACAAACAACAAAATACATCTATTTAGATATAGTTCTTTGAGTCCTTCCAAGATCATATTAATTGTGGTGTGGATCTTTTTACTTTAAAAAAGGTTAAGAGAATTCTACAACGTCCCGTAAAAGTTATAATTTTTACTTTTTTTTTTTGTTAATATATTTGTCTAAAATAAAAGTTTCTATTTACCTATCTATCATAAGGCTACGAGTTGATTTAAATTGGTGTTGCTGAACATAGTTAAACGAAAATATCTACTTAAATCATTGATGTAAAATCTAATTACTATTTATACTATAATATATAATAACGAGTATCATCGTTTGTAAATGATCATGTTTTTAAAAAGTATTTAAAAAAAATATTTACCTTAACAGCTTTGTACGCAATTGATTTGGTCTAATTTTAGCTTTAACCCAAATAGATTAAAATCTACTTATAAAGGTATTACTTAAAGTATGGTTGGAATACAAACAATTTTATTTGGAAAATATAATAAATATCGAAATCTAATTGCATCGTGTGTACGAGTAAGAAAGTTTGTTGGTTGTGCTTTAAGAATTTAACTAAACTAGGAAGAAAGAGGAAGAAAGCCTGGGCTTCCTGAGATTTATTTATTTATTTATTTATTTTTTATGTTTTTTATGTTAAAATGTAAAAGTTTTGATCGTCAAAGTGGCTTTTACAATAAGGACTAAAATTATCAATGTGATTAAAAAATTGTGGCCAACATCTAAAGTTTGTTTTTTTTTTTATCAAAATACAAAAATTTTGATTGTAAAAAATGTGAAAACGATCAAAAAAAATTGTGACAAAAATCTTATTCCCAAATGAAATTTCTCTCTCTCTCTCTCTCTCTATATATATATATATATATATATATATATATATATATATATATATATATATATATATATATATATATATATATATATATATAAAGAAATTTTCATTTTTATCTTTTTTATTTATTGCAAATTTTCTAAAACCCATTATAATTTCTGAAAACACAATGTTTGTATTTTTTTTAATAGAACCATTCAAGTTTAAATAACTTTTAGGGGAAATAGACTTAAAGAGATTAACAAAATTTTCATTTTTGTTAAAAAAACCATTAAATTTTATTTCTTGCACATTCATTAAACTTTCTTAAATGTTCAAAAACACTATCACTACCTATAGTAGCAGGTTTATCCGGTTTTATGTAAAAAAAAAATGTTAACATAGATATTACGTGACAAAGAGAATATTTCAAAAAAAAATATTGATAGAGATATTTGGCGACAAGAAAAATGTTTTAAAAGGATAATAATATCTTCCTTTGTTAAAAAAATAACTTTTTTCTTTTTCACTTTTATAATACCCTACATTCTTTTGCCGACTTGAACATCTCTTTTCTCTCCCTAACTCTCTTTCCCTCCTTCCCTGCTAGAATCCATGGTTTGTTTTCAATAGTATCATTTTATTGCGATTTAAAATATTTTTATTATTAAAGTCACGATTCCAAACCTGTTACTATTTTTGGTTACTAATCTTTTGAATTTGAACTTTTACCAACAGGAACAAAGTTGGAGCTGATTTTAACTTTACGATTTTGAGTGCTCATTTTGATTATCCCAATGAAAATTTCATGTAACCCTAGGCATATAGTGTTGAATTGTTTGTTTAGGAAAGTGATTCCTACACGAGCATTGAGATTATAAAGTCCTTCACGTATACCCTTCAAGGCTTCAATAGTAATTTTGAAGAGAAAGAGAAACAAGGTTGCTACAAGCAACAAAAAATGATATAAACACAAGAAATTGGAGAGGAAAAAGTTTGATAAAAATAACCCAATCCAAGACAACAATCCGTATGAAGAAAATAATAATGTTTACCAATGGGGACTTGCAATCATTCACCACAATCTTTTGCATCTCCACCATAAACAAGACCTCGAATATAACAACTCAAATGTGAATCCTTTCCACCAAAAATATTCATCAAAACCCCACCATATAACAAACAATGAACACCTACCCACAAAAGCTCAACTCTTTCTTCTCCCCCCTTAATTTCCTTCACATTCATTAACAGATCAATGGAATCTTTAACAACCTCAAGATAACTATTTCCATGGACCAAAAACTTCCAAACCTTGGGGAATACATCAGTGATGCAATTTATAAACATCTTGGATATGTCTAAAACCCTTTTGGGACTTTGACCATTGACAAAATCAGATTCAAATACATCAATCAGACCACACTTTAAGCAATTAAAACTTTGAAGCTCTGAATCACAATCAGACATTATGTTTCTAGCAAGATCTAGTATGGATTCACCAGCACCAATCCAGAAGTTTGAAACCGAAGCAATTAAACAAGATTCAGACAGAAAGAGTTTATGTGTTACAACTGCAAGTAACAAGGAGTATGCAGCACTGAATCTTTTCATCTTTTTAGAATGTAACAGATTTTCATCCATTGATCGGACCTTATAAGCTGAAGCTAGAGTTGTGTACGCATTTAAAGATAGATGGTTTTGGGGGTTTAATCTTATTATGAGCTGTTCATAATGGAATCCATTCAAAAGGGTATTTTCCAGCTTTTTGCAACAAGATTCGGCATTATTGGAAGATAGATATTCATCAATAGCATCGTTTATGTACTCTGTAAGGTTTTCTATTCCCACATCATTGCAGGAGGCAGTGGTCAATGTCTGTAGACACTGGTCAACGTGTGTTGGAGGCACTGCAATACATCGATTACAGCAACATGTAAATCGATACTTGGACCACAAGTCCAGTTGCCTCAACTCCTGGAAAAAACAGAAGATGATTGAAGGAAATAATATGTTATTTCATGAATTCGCACATAGAATGGATTTGATGAAGTTGTTTACCTTCGGTTGTAGCAAATCTGTGTATGCGATTGTAATCTGCGCCCCTTTCTTTATGGGCTTTATATTCCTAATAACCACTCTTGGACCACCATGGATCTCCGTCGATTCTATTACACATAAGCAATTCAATTTCTTGTTTATGAATTGGAAACGCATGAATTTGGGGTTTAGTGAATTACCTGTTAGGAATTGGGAATTTGGAGAAAGCTGAATTGGTTGGCGACCATTAGAGGACGCCGGAGTGATGAGAAACCGTTGCCCATCACCGTGGCTCTCCGGCGGCAAGAACAGATAGCAGGCATTTGGGGAACAACTGTGGTTGATCCAGGAGAAAGAAATATTGTAGACCGCAATCCCCACTGATCGACCAACCCTATCTTGCACCTCCACGGCGTTTGTTACCACCACGCACAACACCGCCTCTTCCAGTAAATATTCTTCGGACAAATTGGAATCGGAGATGCCGTCTCTCATCATTGTAGCTGCCGCCATTGCTCTCGCGCCGTTCTTTATTCTGGTGGAAAATTCATCGTCGTGATTAGACATAAGGAGTTGGTGACGGTTGCTCATCAACCCACAGATTCTATCGTATTGTTTGAAGGGATGGTGGCTTTTAATTTGGAGAAGCAAGAGGAGAGCGGCGCGGAGGTCGGAGGTTTGACCATCGTAAGGGTTCTGGGAGAGGTGGATATGGAGGTGGTGGGAGGCGGAGGAGAGGTGGAGGGGAGAATGGGAAGAAGAGCAGGAAGGGGAGCAGTAGAGAAGAGGATGAAGGGAAGGATGAGGATCGGGCGGAAGAGGGGAGAAGCAGGAGGCGCAGTGGGAGAGGAGGAACGAGTCATGGAGCGAGTAGGAGAGAGGAGAGAGCGGTGGAGTGAGGTTGACTCCGATGCTTTCTACTTCTGCTGCTGCCACCATCTCCATGTTTCGTATGTCTCCAGCGCCACAATTTTGGAGAGTTTTTAACCATAATAGTGCTATGACAAAAAATATTTCCCATATTAGTGTTATTGATAAGTATTTACCAAAATGGTATTATTTAATTTTAATACTAATATTATTGTTTAAAAAAAAAAACATACGGTTTTGATTTCTCAAGCTGCTGTTGTGACTAATTTGATGAATATAGACAATGATGTTGAGTTAAATGAAATATTGGAAGATGGAATTGGAGATGAAGATGATGATGAAACATATTTTGACAATAATGTTGAATTACCCTCAACTTTTACTAATATGGAAGGAACAAATTTGACTATTGATGAAAATTAGATTATGACACAATCAACGAGTAAGAATGATTTTACGCGAGAGTTGGGAAAAGATTCTTTCAAGGATAAAGAGGAACTTGTTAGAGCAATCAAGATCCATAGCATTAGGACACATAGACAATTTGAGGTCATTGAGTCACGCCCAACTATTTGGACTCTAAGATGCAAGTTGTACTTACAATCAGGTTGCAAATGGAAGCTTCATGCAAGTAAACGTAAACGTAGTGGTTATTTTGAAATCACAACGTATACCGGTCCGCACACTTGTTTACACTATAAGCTTTCTCAAGACCATCTGAACCTAGATGCAAGCTTGATTGCTATGGAAACTAGACACCTTATAAAAGAGCAACCTTCTATCAGTATTCCGGCTTTGAGAGCTGAAATAGTTGAAAAATTAGGCTATACTCCTTCATATAAGAAGGTTTGGGTTGGAAAGCAAAAAGCAATTGAACATGTGTTTGGAAACTGGGAAGAGTCTTATGTCGCTTTACCAAAATATCTAGGTGCACTTCAAAAGTTCAATCCAGGAACTATAGTTGAATGGTGTGTTTCAAGATCGAACGATGTGGATGAAGTTGAATTTAGACGTGTTTTTTGGGTTTTTGCTCCCTCTATCAAAGGGTTTCACTATTGTCGACCGGTGATTAGTATTGATGGCACACACTTGTATGGTAAATACAAGGGTAAGATGCTAATTGCAATGGGAGTTGATGGCAATAATCAAATTTTGCCACTTGCATTTGCTATTGTAGAAAATGAATCTTATGATACTTGGGATTGGTTCCTTTCTCATGTCAAGAATCATGTGGTGAAAGACCGTGAAGGCATATGCCTAATATCTGATCGTCATGGTGGAATTCTTAAGGCTGTCAATGAGCATGGATCTCCATGGTTAGAGCCACGTGGTTTTCATAGGTATTGTTATATTTCTTAACTATTCTTTTAGGACATTTCAATAACTTGTGTAGCGCCTGGTTTCCGGTATGTGAATTTTATTTGAGTATTGCCCTATTTTAGCCTTGGACTCGGCGAGTCACTAGGTCCGACTCGCCGAGTAGGGACGAGACGCAGGACACGTTTAAGTTGGCGACTCGGCGAGTCCATATCCTGGACTCGGCGAGTCACCGTTGTTGGATGAAACCCTAAGTTTCAGGGGTTTGCACCCTATTTAAACCCCATATCTGCCCCTTGCCAGCCCCCATTCACCCCCCAGAGCTCCCAACCCTCGTCCTAAGCTTGTTCTTGTGAATTTGAGGCTCTTGTGTGCATTCTTGAAGGTTTTGAGGCAAGAAGGGGAAGGAGATCAAGAGGAAGGAGAGCCATCCAAGCATCATTGTGTTTTTCAGCTGTTTCATTGAGGTATATCTCGTTTTCCCCCTGTTTCTATGCTTAAGATTTCATTTAAGACACTCTTGAGCCATTCCTCAAGCTTGTTTGTGCTTAATGTTTCGTAATAAGTGGATGGGCCTTTAGATCTAGGCAAGATTGAGCTCCAGGAGCTCAGATCTGTTAGCTTTATGGCCCCATGTGGCTTGTTCATCCTAGATCTACCCTTTTGAGGCATTTGGAACCCTAAAATCCATATTAGTGAGTATCCACACGTAAAGTTGGAAACTTTACGTGTGATTGGTGTCCTAGAAGTCCAGATCTATGAATGGCATGAACTGAAATCGAGTAAATCGGTGTATTTGGTGGATGCATGGCGACGACTCGGCGAGTCGTATAGGTGACTCGGCGAGTCTGGTCGCGAGTCACCGAATTGGTCCCTTCATGATGTATCGAGTTGAGCCGTGAGTCACAGGGGGTGACTCGGTGAGTTGGGAGCTGGACTCACTCATGATAGGACTCGGCGAGTCAATGCCTGACTCGACGAGTCCAAGGCAATCTTCATAGATCAGGAACAGACTCGGCAAGTTGTTCATACAACTTGGCGAGTCTTAGCATATGTGTTCTTCGGATGAAGATGAACTCGACGAGTTGTTCATACAACTCGGCGAGTAGGATGAAGGAGTTGAATGACAGTTTAGAAGATGGACTCGTCGAGTCATAGCCCAACTCGACGAGTAGAATCAGGGACCCAGGACAATAGTTTGCTAGGGACTCGGCGAGTGGAGATCCACTCGGCGAGTCGGGTCAACTGAAAGTTGACTTCGATTTGACTTAGGGCTAGACCAGGGGTAAAATGGTCTTTTTACCCAAAGGACAGTTAGCAGTGTATGATTAAGTATATTGTGGGAATTGCAGCCGGAGGACTCCCGGAGCAGCAGCAGTCAGTTAGTTCCCGATCAGTTCAGCAGCTACTTTGAGGTGAGTTACCTTCCAGTAGTGGTGGGCCTAAGGCCACAATGCCGGCCCACCAGTAGGGGACGTATGATAGATGATTGTCTTTGTGATATCATCTAGGTTTGCTATTACCTGTTATGTTATATGCTCTCATGATACGTTATATGCAATAGTAGTGGAGTTCGGTTGTTAGGACCGCAGGGTAGTCAGACACCCCAGAAACATCTGACCGTATGTGATGGTATGCTTGTATGTTGGCCTGTTATGTTATACGATAGAGGTAGCGGGAGGGGACCAGTCCCCGAGGATCGGTTGTTAGGACCGATGGGTAGTCAGCACCCCAGAATGGCTTGACATGGGTAGTCAGCACCCCAGAATGGCTTGACACGGGTAGGACGGCACCCCAGAATGTCCGTATGGGTAGGTCGGCACCCCAGAATGGCCGTACCGGGTAGTCAGGCACCCCAGAATAGCCTGGCAGTAATTATGTTATGTGTTTGCATGGTATGTGGTACGTTGGGGGAGCTCACTAAGCTTTGTGCTTACGGTTTCAGTTTTGGTTTCAGGTACCTCCTCAGCTAAGGGAAAGGAGCCGGCACGGTAGCAGCATGTCACACACACACTCTTCGGTTTCCGCATTTACGAGATTCACTGGGATTGTACTCTGATATTTGATGGATTGTATGGTTTGAATATTAAAACATGGTTTGCGATGTGTTATGGCGTGATCAAACAATGCTTTTATTTATTAATGTTTTCTAAAAGTAATATTTTAAAATGAAATTTTTGGACATGAAAATTGGGTCGTTACAACTTGCTTCATTAACTTACATTATTATTATTTATTTTTTTTAATTTTTAAGGTATTGTTTACGACATTTCATCAACAACTTTTATGACAAGTTTCGTAATTCAGAATTGAAAGCTTTAGCTTACCGTGCCGGGAGTCAGAATCAAATTCGAAAGTTCAACTCCATCATGGAAGAAATTGGGAAGTTAAATCCATGTGATCGACAATGGTTGGAGAGTCATCCACTTAATAGATGGACACTTGCACATGATGGTGGAAGGAGATATGGGTTGCTCACAACAAATTTGTCAGAGATTTTCAACAGTGTACTTAAAGGTGCTCGTTTCTTACCAATCACAGCTTGTGTGCAACTTACATTCTATAGAATGGTGCATTATTTTGAGGTGAGACGTCCTTTAGGATCTAGTTCTCAAGCTCATGGAGATACACATACTCCACATGTTGTTGTAAAACAAGTAGCTTTGATGGCAAAAGCAAGTGCACATTCCTTAAGATCTTTTAACCGAGAAAAATGTATATTTGAGTTGATAACTCAAAGAGGTCGAAATGTGCAAGTAGTTAATTTGGAACAAAAAACTTGCACATGTGGTAAATGGGAGGCATTTAAATATCTTTGTTCTCATGTCTTGAGTGCATGTGCCAAACTCTCTTTGAATAGTTGACAATATGTTGATAGATGTTACTCGATTGAATATTATTATGCTACTTGGGCATCTGAGTTCTCCCCGCTTCCTCATGAAGCATATTGGCCACAATCACCATTTAATGAATTACTTCCAAATTTAGAACTATTACGAAATAAAAAATGTCGTCCTCGTTCAACAAGACTAAAAAATGGCATAGATATTAAAGAAGGAAAAAATGCCAATCTTTGTGGAATTTATAGGCAACTGGGACATAATCGAAAACGATGTCCGTCTATGCCAAGGTAATTTAATATATATATATATATATATATATATATATATATATATATATATATATATATATATAATTTTTATGGTATTTGTTGTGGTTATTCTCTTTTTTTTTTCTTTTTTTTTTATACAGATAATCATTTTTTACCGGTTCAAGGTCAAGCTAATTGTGATGGTTTTCTTTTTGTAATAAACAATGTTGGAGTTTTTTTTTCTTTTTTTTTTTCTTTTTGTGGTGTTCTTTTTGTAAGAAACAATGTTGGAGTTTTTTTTTTTTTTTTTTTTTCTTTTTGTGGTGTTCTTTTTGTAAGAAACAATGTTGAGGTGTTTTTTTTTCATTTTAAAAACATTGTATGTGAATGTTGGAATTTTTGCGCATTAAAATTTGATTATAGAAGTGTTTTTTGATGATTTTTTAATATTGAGGCTAAAACTTGTTGGTAAAAATGTTGTATAAGAAAAATGAATATTAAAAAAAAAAACAGGAAAAAGAAGATAAAAAAACATTTATTTTAAAAAACAGTAAAAAAGGGTAAAAAAAACTAAAATGAAAGCTGTCACATATATATATATATATATATATAAATCTGGAATAAAAAAGAAAAAAAGAAAAATAAAATATTTAAAATAACAAAAAAACTGAAAAGGAATCTAAAAAGTAAAAAAAAAAAACACTAAAATGGTAAATACTTTTTTCAAGAACACCATTATGGTCAAAAACTCCAATTTTGGACGTGTAAAAACCTTCATTCTCATATTTTAACTTCATTTCATAGAAAAAGAATTCAAACCCAAAATTCTTTTGGAACATAAATCTAGTTGAATTAAACACCGATCTGCGTTTAATGTTTATTTCTCAAATAAAATATGATATTTCTGTTCCTGCAAAAATGTTATTTCTCAATAAGAAATTAACATTTTGGCATGAAAAAACGAAAAAGTAAATTGTTACAAAACACCAATCTATTGGATATTGAATGAATTAAACACAGTTCAAAATTCATTTCTCAACAAGATACGATATTTTCATGATTGTTCCTGAGGGATGACATTTTCAAATCAGCACATACAAAAATGTCAGTTGCTAAAGGAAAAAAAACACACACACACCAAAATTGTTATTTTTCATCGAGAAATGACATTTTCATAGAAACCCTTATGATTACATCGGCTGTTACTATGAGAATATTTAGTAAATTAAAAAACAAGATCAAAAATGGTATTTTCACAGTATGGCAAAAACGCATCTTTCAGCTATGAAAGTTGTATTATCGCAGGACTTTGAGAGCACCAAAAAAATATTAAACAAATACAAAAACAAAACCATTTGTAGTACTTTTTTTATTTCTAAACAGCTAACTAACATATTTCAAAATAACTAACTAACCTACTCTAAAATAACCATTAGTTATGTTTCTAACAACACTTGAACTTACTACCTCTCATACTAGATCCCTTTGGTGTAGTCCTAGATCATTTTCTTTTTTAAAGAGTTTTTTGTGAATTTATGAAAATGGAATATGAAAAATGAAGTTAAACTTTTTTGAGGTTTATATAGGCGGACGATTGTGCCCCATTTCGAATCCATATAATCCATTCCGTAGTGATTTGGCCCATTTCTTATGGTATGCTACAAAAATGAGTGGGTCTTTTGCTTAATTTTTAGCTAAATCTTGTAATACATTAACAAAAAGGCTAATGTCATAATAACCCTCAAGTTTTAAAGTTTTTGTTGGTTTTGCTCAAAGTTGAATTTTATGTCCGTTTTTACCCTAACATTTTCCAAAAAAACGTTCGGTTTTACCCTTTTACCGGTGATAACAGGTTACCATTATATTAACTTCACAAAAAAAACCCTTAAGTTTACAATTTTTTTACGTTTTTACCCTTAAATTTATAATTTTTTTAACACTTTTACCCTATGTATTTTTTTTTCATATTATACGTATTCAAGCAGAAAAATCATATTTATAAACGAAAAAATTTTAATTAAATATTGCATTTACATTTTTTAATGTTAATTCTTTATATATATATATATATATATATATATATATATATATATATATATATATATGTGTGTGTGTGTGTGTGTGTTTGGTTTTTTTCTTTGATAAACCATTTAAGATGTAAAAAAAAAAACAAATTAATATGTTTTTAGAACTATAAATATGTATTTTTATGTATTTAAAAATATACATATCAATAAAAAAAATTGTTCATTCATAAACATGTTTATATAAGTATATACATATATTTTTAGAAGTGTAAATATGTAATTTTGATAAATGTTTTTTTTAAGTATAAATATATTTTTAGAAGTATAGATACATATTAATATATAAAAATGTAAAAATATGTATTTATACTTCTAAAAACTCTATCTTTAAAACACATATTCATAATTCTAAAAATATTATTTATCTTTTTAAATGGTATAACAATGCAAAAACACAAATACACACAAACAAACAAATATATATATATATATATATATATATATATATATATATATATATATATATATATATATATATATATTCGTATATAAATACGATTTTTCTGCATGAATATGTATATTATGAAAAAAAATATACTTAAGGTAAAAGTGTAAAAAAATTATAAACTTAAGGGTAAAAACGTAAAAAAAATGGTAAACTTAAAGGTTTTTTTGCAAATTTAATATAATGGTAACCTGGAAAACTTGTTATCACCGGTAAAAGGGTAAAACCGAACATTTTTTCGAAAATGTTTGGGTAAAAACGAACATAAATTTCAACTTTGGGTAAAACCGACAAAACCCTAAAAACTTGAGGGTTTTTATAACATTAACCCTTAACAAAATTAGCCAAATTTTTTACTTTTATCTTGCTTTTATACTCAATTGTCTGAAAAGGTGATTTCAAGTGATTCCTCCCTTTACACCATTCAAGGACAAACATGTTATGGACAATACTCCTCTAACTTATTAAAAAATTTCAGCCAAATCTCCAACAACAAATACAAGAAACACAATCAAGACATACTGGTTTTCACTCACTTCAAGAAACCCACTCAATGGTCTATTCAGACGTTATCAAACAACCCAAAGAACTAAGAAGTTTAACAATGCTTATAACTGTAGCATGCACCAAAAGCAAGAATGGGGTTAAAGAACCCAAAAAGATCAAGCTCCCAAAAGTCCAAAACCAACAATTAATCACAAATTCAATTGGTATCAAATCTTTGTTACTCTTCTCTGATCAATAAAATCCAAACTAGCAATTGTAATCACATTTTAGAACCAATACCACTTCTGAACCAAATCAAAATGTATAAACACATATACAACAATAACAAAACATAAAACCAAACCAATGCTTCACATCAAGTTTTAACCTGAGGAAATAAAATAAAAATACTTTAAAGATGTCAAATGGTATGAAAAGGATTTAAGAAGAAAAACAGATGAAAAAGATTACCAAGTTTTATCCAGTGCTAGTTCTTAACTTTCAGTGTACCCTCAATTCGTTGGATAAGCTGGTTTGCTGTTAAAGCTCCTTCCTAAAACCAATCAATACAATAAAAATTATATAATTGTTATTACTATTATTCTTTTCAACTATGAAAAAGAATAACAAAACAGCAAAAGATTGATGAATGTTGCATAAAAAACTTACAAAACGATCAAAAGGTTTTCCATCTTTGAATAAGATGAAAGTAGGCAAAGCTTCAATGTTGTACTTGTTTGCAATTTCAGGGTACTTTTCAGTATCAATTTTAACAACTTGGAGTGTGTCTCCCATGGTGATACTAACTTCATTCAGTATAGGACCCATAAATTGACATGGCCCACACCTGTAAGTAACAAAGATGATGATTTAAACCAGAGCTTAATACCTAAATTGATTGAAAGATCAAAGAAAGAATTACCATGTTGCATAAAAGTCGACCAATACTGGCTTCTCAGCTTTTTCCAGTAGTTCATCAAGGGAGGAAAAAGTTTGCTTCTTTGCTTGAGCCTGATTAGCAAGTAATTAATCAGTTGGTTTTTCGTTTATCAATCCACAAAACACTTGTAACATCATTATCATAATAGGTTGAAGTGGATCTGTACTATAGATTAGGGATTTTTGCAGTTATAAACAAAAGCAAATAAGAGAAACAATTTCAACTCTTTTATAACCTAAATCTTCACGAATTTCGGGATGTAACTCAAATGAGGGAGGAAAGGAATACCTAATTTACAATTAACTTGCTAAACAAATGGAACTATTGAAACAAAATGATATGATTCGCATCTAACATAACAAACATAAAGTTCGCAAAAACACAGGCTACAGAAAGAGTAAGACAGGAGTATTATCAACATCGAAGTCCTAAACATGGAAAACTGGAAATACACATCTGGTTAGCGAATTAAACGACAGATATGAAACAGATGGAGAAACGAAGAGAAGAGATGAAAAGGAGATTACCAGGGTAAGTGTTCGGGACTTAGATGGGAAAGTAGTAAAGCGACGATTACTAAGAGTAAGACGAGGAATCCTTGAATGAAATTGCAGAGAAGACAGATTGGAAAGCCTTGAGGAGGAGGAGGAAGAAGATGAAGCCAACGGCGTCGAACGGTCAAAAGTCCATGAGCGACATGCGGCTGGTGCAGTGACGGAGATTGCCATCGGAGATTTCGAAGGAGTGTGAAAGAGACCCAAAACGTTTGGAAATCGGGAGAGCAGAGGGAAGATGATATGGAATTTGTTGCTCCTGTAGAGCCTTGCGGTTGGACGAAATCACATTAGGCATGTTTCTTTTGCTTCAAGTCCTCTACATTTTTAGAATTGTAACTTCACCCCCTCAACTATATCTATTTGTATCTCTATCTGGCCATTTTAGGCCTGACAATTTTCGACGCGAACCGATTAACCGTGACTTGACACTGGGACACGAAACCGACACAAAGATAAATGTTGAGTTTTTTAACCCGCCAACCTGTTTATTAAACGGGTTGTATATAAGTTTATATAAAAAAGCTCGTGTTGACCCATGACTTGTTTATGATTTTAATATAAAAAATTATATATTTATTAAATGTTTTAAGTAGGTTTTGTACTCTTTTGTTTGTTACTCGGTTACTCCCTTAGTCCCTTGACAATTTGCATGTTTTTCCCTAAATCACACAGAATCGAAAATACACAGTGAGCCATTAATGAACGATTGAACGATGAATGCTTGTTCCAATTATCCTCGTTAAACATCCCAGCTCACCGATCGGCGATCGCTAACGCAAGTAGTTACGCTACACTTCCATGGCTGATTTGTGTTGATGTGTTGCACTCCTTGCTCTCTCTCTCTCTCTCTCTCAGTCTTTTGTTTTGGACCCCTGGTAGGCTGGTACATTTCTTTACGCCTCATTTATCATATTTAGTTGTTTATTCATTCACAGAATCACAATCTTGCAGATTCACTCATTCACACACCGATATATAGGTTGTAATATGTTTCAGTGTATGTGTGTTTCATTTATCATATTTCTTCTACATGTATCATTCACATATTCACACAAACACAAGAACTGTTTGTTAACTTAAGCAACTCACCTGAATCTGACCACGTGAACTCGTATAAATAAATTGGTTGATGTTCCAAACCCGCTAACCCACTACATGTATAATTAAATGGGTCATGCTAGGGTTAGTGTATTTTGAGCAGCAAACCTACGACCCGTCAATCTGAACATGACACGATCAACACCCTTACAACTATATATCTACTTATATGTGCATTACTGTCTACTAGCTAAGAAGCTAGTTAAAAAATAGCATTTGTTAAAACTAGCTTATAAGTTATGTAAAATATATATATATATATATATATATATATATATATATATATATAATAACATAAAAATGTATGTAAATGATTGAAATTTTTATAATTAATATGGGTATATTTTGAAATTTTTAAAAGGAGCCAACAAGCTTGTTAAAACGTTAGTTTAAACAACTTTTTAAAAAGTTAGCTTATAACATTAAACAAAATTGGCCAAGATTTTCATTTTTATTTATTAAAATATATCAGAATGTAATTACATTATACGAAAACCTGTTGTGAATGCGTGTGTGTATAGTCGAACAATGCCTTTACTTACGAGTTAATGAAGTACCTGAAAAACATTTATAATCAAATGAGTAAGTACGAAGCTTAGTGAGTTCCCCAAAATACCATATGTTATAATATATAGATTCGTCCTGCCCAATAAGCATATGAGTAAGCCCCACTCAATGAATATATAAACGAGTCCTACCCAAATTACATAACGGGCCCCACCTGACATACATAATCATATTAAACATATAAAAACCACACTTTTATGGTCTAGTAATACAGACATATATAGGTTATACTTTCCATTCTACTACTAACTTTGAGCACACTAACATTGAAAAACGAGGAAATAAACTATCAGTTCTACTCTACCAGCTCTTACAACCTAACACACATGTATATATATTGTAATACACAATATAGTGAGGTAACTCACTTGGACGGTTTCTCAAAATATTAACAACTTTCTAGCGATCCCACTGGCAAGCAACGTGTCTAACGAGTATTAACCTATAATATTATTACTTATTAATCATCACGACAACCTAGTAATGAAAGTTAGATCTTTCACTAATCTCAAGGAATACCGAGAGTTCTATCAAATAAAGAACAGTCAGGCTGGATAGTTGGGAGGCAGGACCAATTCAGCATATAGCCTTTTCGAAATCCAACAACTAAGTCAACATGACCATTCTAGACACCTCTCTCGTAAGTAGACCAATCAGTTTTATCCATAACAACGACTATGCATATAAATATAAGTTACACTACCAACATAGCTTAACTTACAGGGATCCTAACGAAAACCAAGATTTGCATTAGCGGAATTTCGACCCGAAGGTTTCTATTAGCTGGACTTCTAAATACCTAGAGTCTTACTAATATACCCTAATAATTAGAGAAACTCGAGCTCCAAATATCAGAGGAATTCAGAGAAAATAAATGGTTGAATGTGCGGAAATGGTGCAAGTTCGAGAGGTATTTATAGGCTGATTCGGGATGCATGACGTGCACATGGTCGGGTGCGTGCCATGCACTTGGTTGGGGATGCTGACATGGTGTCGTCTGGGTGGTGACATGTGTTGGCAAGTTGGTGGTGTGTCAGTGCGCATCGTGCGCTTGGTCTGTGTGCGCCACCTCGTGTACGAATTTAACAATTCTTCAAAAATTCATATCTTGTTCATACGAGTTTCGTTTTCGACATTTTTTATATCCATATGTAACTATTAAGGATATCTACAACTTTCATTTGGACTCCCTCGGCTCATTCTCACTTTATTTTTAAATCTATATTTTTAATAGACTTAGGTTGTTAAAGTCCATATAAAAATCATAACTCTCTCAAATGAATTCTGTTATCGACCATCTTTATGTCAACAAAATCATATAGACGAGATCTTTAACTCTCATTTAGATTGTTTTTCCTAACAATCGATCGATTTTTATTTCGGTTTCTGTATTGTACATTGTTGCGCTGAAACTTCTAAAAATCATAATTTCCTTATACGAAGTCAGATGCAGACGTTCTTTATATGTACGCTCTCGTTTTTTACAACTACGAATTTGTCAAGACTACTATAACTTTTTTCAAGACTATCTATCATAAATAGTCTTATATTAAAATGTCTATCAATCGTTTATACAACTATATGAAAACGGGGTGTTACAATTATATTTGTATATAATGTGGGTGTTCATTTATATATTATAATTATAATGTTTAACATCGGTATGACTTGCTAGGCTTCTCAGCCCTAGCCAACTATTTTAACATGTGATCAAGTTAGTACCATTTATTTAATGACATTATGGAGATTAAAGAGCTTTGAGGAAATTTCGAAGACTTTAGATGTTATGTTTGAAATGCTTTACACACTTTACTTCGTCTCTTGTACTGATTGGTATGCCCTTGTATAAAGATTTTAAAAACATATTTTTGTTTATAAAAAGAATTTGAAGTTTGAGAATTTATCTGTAACTCAAAACTTAATTTTTTTTAAACTATTTTTAAATACAATCTAACCATATATAAAAGTAGAAAAAACCGGTTAATTAACCCACCTTCACTACCTATTTTAATATATGAATAAACTTACTTATTTTGACCCATGTTTCATGAGTCAAAGCAACTTCATAATTAAGTAACAAGAACACACAAACACATAAAAAACACACACAAAGTAACTAAACATGTTGAAAAGGACTAAACATAAACAAATATTGAAGAACAAACAACTACTAAAATATTGATGAGAAGCATTGCAACAAATGCATTAAACTTAAATAAAACAAATAAATATTTGTTGTCAAATCTTAAAATAAGCATACACATAATTGGTTATACATGGACCTATAATACATAAAACATTACCAAATGTATCTGATGTAGTTACATAATAAGAAAACACAAATTATACCGGCTAATACATACAAATATCATAAATCGCCACACCATGAACCAGGGAAACCAGGACTATATTAATCATCAATTCATAACCTAATCATTTGTAGCATATACATACTAATTCTACATTACCAAATAATGAACTAAGGACACTAAAACATGAATTGTGCATTATCATTACTTTCCATAAGATATTAACAAAGTACAATAATCATCTAAGTTCATCAACCGAAAGCAATCTTACACTTCATCAACCATCCTTGGTCACAACTTCCTTCCCTTCGGTAGACTCATGACCAACAAAAGAAACCTTGCTATCAGAAGTACCAGTACTTTCACTATCAAAATGGCCTTAAACAACAATCACTTTGGAATTGGCACATTTTGTATGAACTTTTAATGCTTTAGTAACACAGTTAATACCTTCACCACAAAATTGTTATGGACAATAATTGTTTTGGAATTGTCATATTTTTTAGGAACCTTTAATTCTTCAGTAACACGGTTAGATAATTGTCGTGTTCTTTAGAAACCTTTAATTCTTCAGTAACACAGTTAGACAAAGATGCTTTGCCATGTTTCATGTAGACTTTGATTTCCTTGTGTTGTACAACAAAGTTAGAAAAAACAATGACATATTCATCATTGTCTAAGGCTAAGAGGTCATAATCCAAATCAAAATGTGGAATGGGAAATGATATATTCCTCAATATCACTACAATGTAGTTTACATGACCATTAATGTATCTTCTTAATGGAAATGACATGAACATCCTACCATGATGCATATTTATGGTGAAGATGTTATCATACCTTTTAGAAAACTCAATAAATAAATAAAGCTCTAGAAACAATGAATCAATGACAATAGGAAAAAGTAGAAATGGTAGATACAATTGGCTTCATTCTACTTAAAAGCATTTTGGTTGCCTTCTACACATTGTGGCGAGGAAGATGATTGGTATCGATAATATGCTTTTCCAGTGGAATTAATATTGCTTGGGTGAGCTTTAATCCAACACTTACACCCCGTTCCTGAGTTCAATTTAAGGAGAGAAAAGAAAGGAAATGAGTGGAAGTGAGAAGAAAGTAAGAGAATTTGGTATTCTCGAGTTTCATTAAAGGAGAGAAGTGGAAGGAAATGAAGGGATCACTTTCCCTCCTAACTTTCCTTCCAATTTGGAAGGATTTGGAGAGAAAGAACAAAAAATGTTTAACTTTCCTTCCATTTCTCTCAAACTCAGAAATACAAAAGACAAATTTTTTTTCCTTTCTCTTCTTTTCTTTTCTCTCCTTACTTTCTTTTCTCTT